TCACAGCAATCCTCCTGCCTCAGCCTCCAGAGTGCTGGGATTACAGGTGTACGCCACCACGCCCAGTCTAATGCAGCTTTTTATAAAGGAAAAACACAAAAGTAAAGAAACCAAGTGAAGGCCCTCTCCCGCCGGGAGCCGCCATTGCTCCAGTGCCAGGAGGGACTGCTTGAGCCCTGACCCACCTCGGGAAGGATAGCCATGCCTTCTACCATGAGGAGCCACCATCACTCCAGCGCCAGGAAGGTAGCTGCTGGGGCACCCCTGAACCCCTACAACTCCCACAACCCACCCCACCATGAACTCTCAGACCTCCTGATTGTGCCAGTCTTTGGATCCACTCTGCAGAGACAGAGGTGGTCATAAAGGGTATTTTTCTGAGTTCCCAACTTTGAACATCTTTAAAGAAAGGGCATGGGAAACCTGTAGTAGAACAGTGTGGAGTTCAACTGATCAGGAGGTTGGGGAACTCAATCTAGGCCTTGCAGCCCAAGGTTAGTCTGCCTCGTGGGGTTCTGCCATCAGCTAGCTGAGATCAGGGGTCTTGTTCTGCACATGGCTATGCATGTTGTATATTATGACAGCAGAGATATAGTTTGAAGGAGGCCCTTCAAATCCTTTTTTCTTTCTTTCTTTTCCTCATTCCACTCTGCAAATTCTTTCTTTTTTCTGTCCTCTTTCCCCAACTCAGTCTCTTGTTCCACCATATTATCCCTCATCTCCCTTTCTGTTTCTGCTCCTGCCCTAACTCAGATTTCTTCTTTTATCATTTTTTCTCTTTTCTTTATATTCTTTTCTTCTGTCATTCTACCTAACACAGGGGTCAGTGGTTTCAAGGGAAAGTGAGCCCCTATTGCTGTCAAGGAGATATATTCTTGTACTTGTACTTCTGCTCTGTCTATCCCTTTCGAATTCAACAGTTTCCTGAATATTGTGTGGTCATTCTATGTCCTCTGGCTTCACTTGAAACCTTCTCCAATTCTTTCACTTATCTACTCCTCTTGTCCTAGCTCTGTCTGAGCCCCCATTCTAAATGGTAAATATACTGTATTTAAAAGTTTGTCCTCTGCAGACATGTTTTGAACTGCTTATTGATTTCAATTTAATTCACATGGTTTAAGGGTGATAGACCAGTGACTACCACAAGTGGTCAGTTTCCAAGATGTGCTTGATCGTACTGTGTTGCTGATTGTATCAGCTGGGATAAAGGATTGTGGTTGATTTGATGAGCTGTTTTCTCTGATGGTATGAAGATGAGAATGTCTGTGGGTCGTTTGAAACCCAGAAGCTAGGGTGCAACTATATCAGGAAGATTTGGGTGATAACCCAGTAGAAATATAATTTCCCAAATAACCATAGAGATAGTGAGCAAAATGGAAGTCATGATTCGAGACTCTAGAACTTCTGTCAAAACTTCTGACAAAAAAATAGATGAGCTCAGGACCATGACAGAAGGCATGAAGGCCCAGCATAAGAAAGAAATGGAAAAAATAAACGCCCAACATAGGAAAGAAATGGAATCCATAAAACAGATTCAATAATTTCCCAAATAACCATAGAGATAGTGAGCAAAATGGAAGTCATGATTCGAGACTCTAGAACTTCTGTCAAAACTTCTGACAAAAAAATAGATGAGCTCAGGACCATGACAGAAGGCATGAAGGCCCAGCATAAGAAAGAAATGGAAAAAATAAACGCCCAACATAGGAAAGAAATGGAATCCATAAAACAGATTCAAACAGATATCCAGGAGATTAAACACTCCATTGAAAGTGTACACAACAGAATAAAAGAATGCGAAGATAGAATCTCAGATACAGAAGATAAAATAAGATTGCAGTCAGTGACTGTGAAAAGAGAGGTCTCTTAAAAACAGCAGGAGATCATGAGAAATTGATACAACAACTCTTAAACGATACTAAGAAGAATAACATAAGATTGACAGGAATTCAAGAAGTAGTAGGAGAAAATGTAAATGACTTTAAAAAGCTGTTCACAGAATTACTCACAGAAAACTTCCCAAATAGAGGGGAAGAATTTGACATACAGGTAAGTGAGGCATATAGGACCCCAACTAGCCATGATAAAAAAAATCTACACCATATAATAATCAAGATCCCAGAAACCCAACAGATGAACAAAATACTACAAGCAGTAAGAGACAAGAAACAAATTACATGCAAAGGAAAGCCCATCAGAATCACAGCAGACTTTTCAACACAAACCCTTAGGGCAAGGAGAGCCTGGAATGAGATATTTCAAGCACTAAAAGAGAACAACCTCCAACCTAGACTGATGTATCCTGCAAAACTCTTTCAAAATGGATGGGGAAATAAGACACTTCCATGACAAAGAACACCTGAGAAACTACATGAATACCAAATCAGCACTACAAGCAATTCTAAACAAGATCCTAGAAAAAGACAATGAAGGTAACATGAGGCCCAACAGAGCAAATCAAATAGGCCCAACAGAGCAAATCAAATAGGCAAGGCAAGAAACTAAAAGGAGAAGGTGAAAAAGTAAAAAAGAGTCAACAAAAGGCCAATGACATGACAATAATAAGTCAGTACATATCAGTTATAACCAGCAATGTCAATGGCCTCAACTCACCAATCAAGAGAAATAGACTGGCAGAATGGATTAAGGCAAAATCCAACAATATGTTGTATACAAGAAACACACCTAGTGCAAAAAGAAGCCCATAGACTGAAAGTGAAAGGATGGAAAACAATTTTCCATGCGACAGGAGCCCAGAAAAAAACAGGGGTAGCAATCTTATTCGCAGACAAAGTAAATTTCAAACCCAAACTGATTCTAGTATTATAGATGTAGGGCAGTACTGTATCATACCTCTGTGAATGTAAAATATCTTGTACCTGCTTTATGATACGTAGTAGTGACCGTGCTTTATTAGAGCTGTTTTTAATGATGTTACGCTAGAATGTTCTCTTTCCAGATGATGATTAAGATGCTAATAAAAAAAAAAAAAAACGGTGCCAGGTACCACAACAGCAATAGAACTTTGCTGTTTTCTGGGTATTATTCTTTTCTTTGTTTTCTTGTTTTTGCTTTTTTAACGGAGTGTGCTGAATGTCTATAATTTTGTTCAGATGACTGCAAAACCTGGAAAAGATGTTACTGCTATTGATGCACAACATACTGCTATTATTGGTCTTTTTATATAAATATAAATATATATATACATATATATATAAAGTGAATTTTGGGAAACTTTAACTGTGCTGTCAACTTAGGAAAAAGTTATCCCAGTTTACTGTGTTGAGTTGGCATTGTATAGAAATTAACAGCCTTTCGATCCCAGGTACAAAAAAAAAAAAAAAAGAAACAGAAATTAACAGCCATATTGGTCTAGAAATGTTAATTATTTTTCCATTTGTACAGGGGTAATGCACTGTATTATACATGTAAGGTCTTATCTTAAATATGTAAGAGTTTGATTACAGAAACTAATAAAGTATTCTCTAAATAATGAAGAAAAAGAATAATATAAGACTATAAGAGCAAGAAACAATTTAAATATGTTCAGGGACCATTTTCATCTTCAGAATTAAGGATTATTTTAATTTTACATCATTGCCTTTTCTCTTTTACTTTCCTTTTTAGTTTTATCATTTTAGGATTCCCTATTTTTAATTTTCATACAGAGATTTCTTTAACTGATCATAATAATTAAGCATAAAGTCACAAATTACAAAGTCATATTTTGCTCAATCCTTGAGTTCTAAATTATTCATTCTACTTACTGTTTTTAGATTAGTTTATCCAAAAATTTCCAGTTTATTGTTGTTGTTTTTTATTTTGTACAAATAAGGCAGAGTTAGAAAAGAAAGGACATATGGAGATACTTCAAAGAGCTGGGACTAGAGGTTCCATTTGACCTAGGCATCCCTCTGCTGGGTATCTTTCCAAAAGAATTAATAAGAATCATACCACAGTGATATATGCACACCAATGTTTATAGAGGCACAGTTTGTAATAGCTAAAACTTGGAAACAGTCCATTTGCCCATCTGTTGGAAACTGGATAAATAAGATGTGGTTTTTCTATAAAATGGAGTACTACTCAACCATAAACAATGAGAAATTAGAGTCATTCATAGGAAAATGGATACATATTGAGGATATAATCGTAAGTGAAATAAATAAATCACACGTGTGTTAAATACCGCATAGTTTCTCTGCTGTGAAAAACTATAATAGTACACAAGATCCTAATGAGATAATTAATAATGTGAAATAGGAAGAAAAGGGCTAAAGGTGTAGGGAAGGGTGGGGGAAGGTAATAAGGAAGAGGAAAAACATATGAAAAAATGGAAATAAAGTGTTTGTAAATGGGGAGGGGAGGAGGGGGTGAAGGAAGGACAGGGACAAGGGGAAAAAGTGAGAATCAAGACCTGTCACGTAAAGGTACAGGATCCCAACAATGAATGTAACTGTATTGTGTACCTAGATTGTACCAATAAACTCAATAAAAAGAAAAAAAATTAAAAAAAGAATCTGAGTGAATTAAAAAGTATTTGTTGGATCATGTGAACAGGAAATGAAAGAATCTGAAGAAATTAGGACAAAGATATAGAAAAGGTTAGGGAAATAGCCTCTCCCCTTAGCCCTAGTGAGATGCCTCATGAGTTCCAGGGTTCAGGGTTCCTAGTACAGGTACTGGTGAAAGGGCCATCTGTGTGCTCTAAATCGAAGCAGGCAGATAACTGACGAGGCTCTTATGCTGCAGAGTAAAATACCCAACTGGTTTCTCAACAGATAGAATGAAATTACTGTTGACAGTCTACTCATATCCACCCTATGCCACACTCTCGAGCCATGTCACGAGTGTCAAAGATGGGGCCGGGCGTGTATCTCAAGGGTGGTGTATTTGCCTCGCTTGACTGAGGTGCTGCGCTGGATCCCCAGCATTGTGCTGGAAGGGGGTCAAAGATAATGAATGCAAACCAAATAAATTGCATTTTAAAAAGAGTTTACCTGTTTTAGGCCATAAGGCATTGACTGCAATTTCATCTTTAAATTCTTCTGCCATTCCCAGCACACACATAGACATACCATACTTAGCAATGGTATAAGCTGAAAAAAACCACAAAGAATGATAATTTGGAAACAAATTAATTTGTGAATAAAACAACCAACTTCAAGGGCTGGGGATTTAGCTTAGTGGTGCCGCGCCTGCCTCATAAGCACAAAGTCCTGCGTTTGATCCCCAGTACTGCGGTGGGTGAAGGGGAGGATCAACCAACTTCTTTCTATTACTATGATCTCCCTGACAGTTTGTATTTTGGTTCTGGGGATCAAACTCAGGACCTTGTGTTTGCGAGGCAGGCAACAGAACCATTGAGCTAAATCCCTGGCCCTCCCTGACATATTTTTGAGAGTTCATGTTAATAACATGAAAAACACAAAACATAATTTTTACATGTGTTATGTACGAAGCTTTTATCGGAAGTAACTGGACAGACACAAGCCAGTTTTTTATATTCTGATATTTGATTAGAAGGAAAGTAATAAACTCATTTTTCCTCAAAGCCATAGTAGCAAATTAAACTACTGTCTCATCTGTTCTTTTCTTTTTATTGAAAGCTGATTCCTTGCACCACACACTAAAACAGAATGAAAGTGATGATTTAGGAAAACTACTGCCAGTAGCTCAATGGTCGGGTGTGTGCTTGGCATGGGCAAGGTGCTGGGTTTGATCCTTGATACTATAAAAAAATAATAATAATAAATAAATAAATAGCAGCAGCAGCAACAACAAAAGTTGGCAAACCAGGCACGGCAATGCACGCCTGTAATCCTGGCTGAGGCAGGAAGACTGCAAGTTTGAAGCCAGCCCAGGAACTTAGTGAGACCTGTCCAAAAATGAAATTTAAAGGGGCTCTAACCCTTCTGAGAGTGCTTGCCTGGCATGTACAAGGCCCTAGGTTCAAGTACCACAAAAAAAAAAGAAAAACCTGCAAATTCATTTAACCTAGTCACCTGCCAGAACTTCTTCCAGTTTTGCTTAGTAGCTTCCCATTCAGAGCCCCTTTCCAAATGCCAGGGAATTATACCGCGATAAGAGCTACATATTTGACACAATGATTTTATTTTATTTATTTGTTTGTTTTTTTGTTTTCTTTTTGGTACCAGGGATCGAATTTGGGCCCTTGCACTTATGAGGCAGGCACTGGAATCACTGAGCTAAATCCCCGGCCTTGACACAATGATTTTAAAGGAAGCATGTATACATAGATCTTGTTACTTATCACACTCACCTGACTTAAATCATTAGTTTGCTAAGAAAGGTAAAATATTTCATGGATAATTTTAACCAACTTTATTAAGGAATACATTATATACAATAAAACACACTCACTGGACATGAAAGAGCTTTCTGAGATGACAGAAATCTCAATCTGGAGTTGCATAATAGTCACACAAGTACTGTTGTATAATTTGTCAAAATTCACTAACCCAGTGGCTGGGGATTGAGCTCCATAGCACTGCGCATGCCTTGCAAGCACGAGGTCCTGAGTTTGATCCCCGGTCCAAAAAAAAAAAAAAAAACCCAGAAAAATTCATTAAACTGAACCATTAATATTTGTGCATTTTACTGAAAGTAAATTATACTTTAATTTTCAATTATAGGCAAATGATTATCTGTGATTTTCAAATTTTACTCACTGACCTAGGCACAGAAAACTCAATGCTGTCTACTGTGTAGAGATTGTAATTAGATATTAAATATATTGATTTAACTCCAAAGAGATTAAAGAGACAAAGCAAACCCCTCATCCTACTACCTACCACAGTGCTGCTTGAACCACACTGGATTTAAATTCAGTGGTGGGCTGAGATTGAGGATGTGAGCAACTTTACTCTTTTTCAAAAAAGGAACACATGCTTTAGATCTGAAAGTAAAAGAAAATACAAGTGAAGTTAAGAATTTTCTAACAATCTCTTCCAATTTCTAAGTGACATTTTAAATTACTCCTCCAGAGTAACTAAACTTGCTCCGATAATCAATACAGTAATTAGTGTTTACTTTTGTTTGTTTTTCTAGAATGTAGATGGAAAAGCAACTAACTTTCATGCTTTGAAACTTTACTTAATGGCCTGACTATATGATCCACTTTAAAAAAAATCAAATCCTTGATAGATTAGCATTATGCCCAACCAAGGATATCCTCAACCATAACAGTTCCCAATTCTGCCTCCCCAACACACTCATAACTTTTAGGAACAGTTAATGTGCTAGTCAGTCAGCGCTGTGCTAAAGAATACGGATGTTCAACGGAGAGACTTGGGTTCAAATTCTGCTTCTGCCCCTGCATCATGTGACTTTGGGCAAATTTTATAACATTCTTATTCTGTTTTCTCTTCTACAAATGTTGGTAATACCCACTATCATCTAGGATTGGCCACAAGATGAAAATGAGATGATACAGAAGAGATACTTAGGACAGTGCATAACTAAACATGAAATTAACTATTGCTATCATAGTAGTACATCTACTGATTTATTTCATCTCCATAGACATAGTGCTCAGATAACTCTAGAACTGCAATTTAGTAATGCAATTCCCAACACAGTCCCAAAGTTAATTTGTACAAATATAAAATGCAATTCAACTTAGGAGCAATGTATAATTTCATTTTTTTAAACCTGCTCATAAAGATAGGTAATTTATTTTATAACAGATTTGTGTTCAACATTTAAAAAAATTTTAAGTATTCAATTATAACACCTGATAGCTAGATAATATATTCCAGCTTAAATATTTCAGAATTTATCTCACACTCAAGGACAACTAGAACTCTGAGCCAGTCTCTTCTTCCTTTGAGTCACTTTTATTTCCCAATGTATAACACTAAGATTGCCAACTCCAACCACTCTCCGAGCTCACAAACCAAATACAATCAATTCAGGAGTTTTTGTATGTATTGTTTTTCATCTCCAAACATGCTTCACCTTTACCAGAGTGAAGGGGAAGAGGGGCAAGCAATATTATTACTGATTTTTATTAAAACACCTGAACTTGGGCCAGGGATGTAGCTCAGTGGTGACACCACCTGTCGATCCCCGGTACCAAAAAAAAAGACAAAAAAAAACCACCTGAACTTGCACCTTCAAAGCATGAACAGGAAATAAACTGAATGTATTCCAGACAATGAGACCATATTTTACACTCCAAGGGAAGAGCTCATTTCATTTACAATATAAACGTGAGCTCGCCCCGGATCTACAGGCAAAGCCTTCCTATCTGCACTTTGCCAGTCTGGCCCTCAACACGAGAATACTAATCTCAGGTCAAGTGTGTTTTTCAAAGTCACAAGCAAGTCTTTTTGTGTTCTACTGAAAACCTTCAGCACCACACTTAGATACAAGTGCCTTTAGCTTTGAGTCTGCTGAGTTTCCTGACTAGCCTTTAACCTGTGCTGCTGATCTGGCTCAGATCTGTTTAGAACTGGGCAAGTTCTCTGAGAACGCCCTGTGACAGTCTCCCCTGCAAATCTTCTTCTTCGTGACTCACGTAAGGTAGGTGCCTCTGGTGTTTACGCTCATCATCAAATCCACCTTCTTCGTAGGTGTTTCCATTGTGTTGGTCAAGCTAATGGCACTGGCATTGTTCACCAAAATGTCAATTCCTGTTTCCAAAGTAATCAATTTGATTTTAAGTATATGAGAATTTCTTCACACACATATGCAAATAAAAGCATTTACTCTATTTCACTGAACCTTTAATTGATTCACAAATACTTCTTTTATATAATATGACTGATCAATACACCAATGCAGGCCTCAGCAGCTGTCTCTAAATAGCACCTACAGCTGGGTGTGGCAGTGGATGCCTACAATACCAGTACTCAGGAGGCTGAGGCAGAAGGATCACTGAGAGTGTTTTAGGCCAGCCAGGGCAACTTAGCAAGATCCTGTCTCAAAAAATTTTTAAAAAGTGCTGGGAATGTAGCTCAGATCTTGGGTTCAATCTCCAGTACCAGAGGTGGGGGGGGGTCCAGCATCTATATGACTTTCACTAGCACAATAGAAATGTAGCCAGTGAACACAGTGCCACAGGAAACCCCAGGGAGCTAGCTTCCACCCTCCCTGTTCTCTTACCTCCTGGTCTTTCCTCCCTATCTCCACGAACCGTAGGTCAAATTCCTTTCTAGTGTTTTTCCAAGGCCTACAGCCCTTCCACACGTACTAGACTCGCTTTCCCTCAAGGCCCCTCTCTTCAGGGGCAGGGGACCTTTCTGGTCTTGGGAACTAGGAAAGGAGAAGGATCTTAGTTTTAATAACAGGCAAATGATCAAAATGGGTTGATTCTATTTCAGTGACTCACTGACATACACACAAATAAATCTATAATAATTATAATTTCTGTTACTCTATCCAGTCCCTACCTATATGCAATTTATCTTGTTTATATTTAAATGCACAGTGAGACAACATTAAATGAAAATGGTTATGGGGACAGGAGAAGGATTTGTAAATCCTATCAGATAGAGGTTTTGCCTACTCAAGGCCACTGCTGTGCAGAGACCCCTGTTAAAACCATCCTGGACTGAGAAGGAAGGAGGTGACATCAAACTTAAAGTCACTGGACAAGATAGCAGTGAGATCCCAGCACCTGAGAGGCTGAGACAGGAGGACTGCTGCTAGTTCGAGGCCAGTCTGGGCTAAACAGTAAGTTCAAGGCTAACCTGACTTACATAGCCAGAGCCTGTTTCAAAAAGCCATGGAAATAAATAAATAATAACAGATGCACCTTAAAGTGAAAATAGCAACTATCTCAAGAAACTCAAAGAATCATACTGTCAGAGACAGGGAGTTCCAATGAATTAGCTGAGGTTCCTCTTTGAAGGTTAGCAAGTTACTGATAATCATTCTCCAAAAGAACCGGGAGTGAAGGAACATGTAATTCAGGGTTATCAGAAACAAACAGGGGGCCAGGGATTTAGCTCAGTGGTCGATGTGCAAGGTCCTGAGTTCAATCCCTGGCACCAGAAAAAAACAAACAAACAAAAAAAACAAAAAACAAACAAACAAACAAAAAAACAAGAAGAAACAAACAGAGCTCATTCAACAGTTTAGATAATTCTTTTTCTTATTTTTCTTTTCCCTTAATCCCTATTTTTTAAAAAATACTTCTTTGGGGGTCAACCCACTTTCTGGTCCCCTCTGTCTCAGACAGAAGCTATCTTTCTCTCAATAAATTTTTCCTACTCTTAAAAAAAAAACTTTTGTAATGTAGTGTTCAAAATGTAAATGAAAATTTGCATACCCTCTCTTTAAAATATCTAGCTGAAACTTGGAAACCTAAATGCCCATCGACTGGAGAATGGATAAAGATGTGGTTTTTCTATAAAACGGAATACTACTCAGCCATAAAGAATGAGAAACTAGAGACATTTATAGCTAAATGGATGCACATTGTGGCTATACTCTTAAGTAAAATAAATAGGACATACTTAAGTAAATACCAAATAGTTTCTCTGGTGTGAAAAACTTAACTGTAAATGAGGTTCAAATGGTATAATTGATAGTGCAAAATGGGAAGAAAATGGCTAAAGGGGAAGTGGGAAGGGGAGGGGAAAGGAAAGAAGGGAAAAGAAAAAATGTGAAAAAAGAAAAAAATGGAAACAAAGCCTTTGTAAATAGGGAAGGGTGAAGGGGGTAAAGGGAGGGCAGGGGTGTGGGGAAAAATAAGAACCAAGACCTATCATGTAAAGGTAGAAGATCCCAATGACATGTAACTGTATTGTTTGCTTTAAACGGGGTAAACTTAAAGGGTAAAAAAATACATACGGGAATTTAATCCCAGGGCTTGTTATGCATTATCATTTGTTTTCATTGTGCTGATTTTTGGTGATCAAACCTCAGTTCCCTTCACAGTTTTCAGGAGAGGGTGGCCCCTTCTATGTTATGATGACAACTCACCTTCAGCTAATAGACAGTACTGAGCAAAAGAAAGAACTAAAATACAATGGATATGGGGAATGAGACATTCTCCTCTTAATTCCTCCCTCAAAATGAATGGGGAAACGATTTCAGTTAAATCCAAACTGGCCACTTTTGCTAGTAGGTGAAGTCATTTCAGATAAAAGGCCCTGACCTTGAGTGCAACTTTCCTTTGTCTTCTGTATTTAAGGCCTCATCAGTAGAGAAAAACATAATTTTGCAGCTCTCCTCTTCTCATGTGGCTATTTATATTACTTTGAAGAAAACTACCAGCTACCGGTTAAGAGGAGGGATTTAAAGGAAGGGGCCCCACTTGCGGCACTGCATTTAGTTCACTACACCACTGCATTCTGCAGCAAGCTCATGTACTATAAAGCATTACCTTATTTTCCACCGATCAACGTCCCTCACATGTGACACGTACACACAGTCCCTCCGGAACATCATGGGGTAAGAGTGAACATGCCTAAGGTACCTTGTTATAATACCAACAACTCTTAGCTTAACTTCAACATCTCCCTTTTAGAGGCTTATGAACTAACCAGAGGAGAAAAGAGAAATACTAAGATCTAAAAGAGGACAAGATAAAGATCTAAAAAAATGATTTAGAAATTGGGAGAACGAATATGCTTCTGATTATTTGGCATGGCAAGGGAATAGGCTTTGTGGAGATGAGGTGTTGATATAAAAAGTTAGGATTTTAGCTATAGAGAAAGGAGAATTTCAGGAAGGATGAGGAGTAGACCGGAACTGGAGAGGGCTCAGGAATAGGAAACAAAAAAGTTAGGAGAAATTTGTAAGGTAGAAAGACAGAAGTAAACTATTTTGGTTGCAGCAGGGAGGTAATGCATGGGTACAGAAGAAAGAACCAAAAAAGCCTGCTGAGATCAGAGCATGAACTACTTTCAATGCCAATAAGATATCTGTACTTGCCCAATACAGTATCAAAAAGTCACCAAAAACCATTTACAGTGACTAGAAAGATGCCATCAGATGTAAGCAAATGACTAAATGTATGCTATCATCAAGGTCCTAGCTTTATTTTAAGTGATACATTTGTTAGAGTACCCAAATTATTTTTAACAATTTAAAAAAAAAAGCTTAAGCCATGTATCTAATAAGAGCAAATACTACTCCAAAGACTCAGAAAATCCAACGTATCAAAACAAATTAAAAGATTATCATCCAGGGCACCAAAAAAATTAAAATTATCAGTAGTGCCTCCATATGCATGATTTCACTTTCCACAGTTTTAATTACTTGCAGTCCACATCAGCCTGAAAACATTAAACAGAAAATTCCAGAAATAATTCATGTTTAGACTGACCTGTCATTCTGAGAGACATAATGAACCCTTGATCCATCCTACTCCATATTATCCAAGACCTGAACCATCCCCTTGTGTATCATATCCACACTTGAAATAGTTTAGATCTGAAATGTCTCCCAAGAGTCTCATGTGTGCAGAGGTGGGGCTTGTAAAAGGTGACTGGATCAAGAAGGCCCAAACTCCACTCCCGGATTAATCAATCTTGCGATAAGATCATAATTTTACCTCATTATTAAGAAGTGATAGCAACTCAGGAGGTGAGGCCTAGCTGAAGTGAGTAGGTCACATCCCCTTGGGACTGTATCTGGCCCCCGGTCTCTTCCTCCCTGGGTCTTTCCCTTTCTGCTTCCTGGCTGCCACAGGCCTAAGAGCAACAAGCCAACCAGGGACTGAAATCTTTAAAACCGTGCGTCAAAATAAATCTTTACCTCTTTAAATTGTGTGTCTTAACTATATGTATCTGGTTACAGTGATGAAAATCGAACACAACACTACTCCTCTGAGTCAATCTTGGTTATCAGATTGATACTCTATCATAATACCTATGTTCAAGTAAACATCATTTTACTTTACAATGGCCCTAAGCTGTAAAAGTAGTGAGGCTGGCATTGAGATGGGTCCCAAAGAAGTTGTAAAGTGCTTCCTGTGAAAGGTCTCTCAACCTAAGAAAAGAAAACTATTGTTCTGATGAGATTGCTAAGGTCTATGGTAAAAATGAATTTTCTATAGATGAACCTGTGAAAAAGGTAAAAGAAATTCAGGCTAGTTATTCTAGAATGCTGGGGTGAGTTATGCACCTTAAACCCACCGGTTACAAGAAAAAGGGAAGACCTCCAGTCACATAACTATCATAGCACATTATTATCGTTCTATTTCATTATTCCTTATTGTTGTTAGCCTTTTATTGAGCATGATTTAAAAATTGAACTGTATCAGAAGTATGTCTGTACAGGTTAAAAACACATACAGTGGTACCTCAGTTTACAGACTTCATCAGGTACAGAGGTAGCACTGTATAGAGTTGTGATTTAGGTCTAAGAGGCTCCCCACAAAGTCTCATGTGTCCAGAGACAGAACGTGTGGAAGGTGATTTGGGTCGTGGGGATGATGCAATCATCAGGGGACTGATCCGTGATGAGTTCATAGCTTACCGTGTTATTAGGATGTGGGGCCTAGCTGAAAGAGGTGTGTCACTGGGATGTCATTTTAGAATGTATATCTCTCTCCCCAGCTCCACCTTTCTCTCTCTTACTTTCTTGCTGCCACAAGGAGAATGGTTTTCTTCCTCCACACCCTTCCACCATGATGTTTCTGCCTTGGAGCCAGCTTACCATGGACTGACTGCCCCGAACCATAAGCCAAATTAAAACTCCTCCTTTAAGCTGCGGATACTGGGTACTTGTCCCACCAATAGAAAATTTACTACTATCCATAGTTTTAGGCATCTACTGGGTATTGATAGACTCATATTTTATCCATATTCAATAATTATTTCAATAAGGCACTACCTCCAAATTTCTCGACTGCTTTCTCCACTGCACTGTTGATTTGCTGTTCATCTCTCACATCCACAATACATGGCAAGGCTTTTCCTCCAGCTGCTTCAACTACAAAGGGTAAACAAACAAAAAAGCATTAAAGTATTCAAATATTACACCTTCCATTCTGATATAATAGGCAAAAGAAAAAAGCACTCTTTTCAGAAAATCAATATAAATAACTGTCTTATAATTACTAGTGACTCCAATACACAGGATCACATCCAGCTATGTCAACTCTATTAAAAGAAAGCCAGGCATGGTGGTGCACTCTTGTAATCCCAGCACTTGGTAGGCTGAGGCAGAAGAATGGTCTTCAGTTCAAGAACACCCTGGGCTAGGTAGTGAGTTCAAGGCTAGTTTAAACTACACGGTGAGAACCATCACCCTCCTGAGACTTTTTTTTTAAACTGGAGTCTCTCATATCACTTAAAAGTGGTAGAGAAAAAAAGCAACTCCAGCTCTTGAGTAAAATAAACACTCTTTTGGGTTTTGGTTTGTTTTTTAGTACCGGGGATTGAACTCAGGACACTGCGCTTTGCCAGGCAGGCATAGTGCCATCCAGCTACATCCCAGCACAAAATAAATACTCTTTAAAACAAGACAAATACTTCTTTATTTTTAGAATAGCTTTCTTTTTTTTTTCTTTTTTTGGTAGGGTGGGGGGGGTGTTTGAGGAAGGGTCTCCCTCTAAGTTCAGGCTGGCTCTGAACTCACTATGTAGCCCAGGCTGGTCCCAAACTCACAGTAATCCTCATGTTTCAGCCTCCTGAGTGCTGGGATTACAGGTGCGTACCACCACACCCGGCTCTCACAAAAAATAAGACCTAACTGGAAAATAAATTTAAACTATAATCATTACCATAGTGATAGCCAGTGTCATGCAGAAGATTGTACCTCACTATTCTTACTCAACAGCTACCCTGTAATGGCAAGGAAAGGCTGATTGGGGCTGGCATTTTTGATCTCTAGTTAGGTCTTATTTTCAGGGAAACACAGGTAATTCAAACTAAACTAAATTATGGATTGATACCACTGTGAGGGCATTTGATGAAATGGCGAAGGTCACACTCACTCTCTTCAGCGGCAGTAAAGATGGTGCCTGGAAGTTTGGGGTGTGACTGGGCAGTCTTTGCAGCAATGACAATATTTGCTCCATCCTTTGCAGCTTTCAAGGCAATGGCTTTGCCAATGCCGCGGCTTGCACCAGTGACAAAAATCGTACATCCCGCTAGCTTTCTACAACAGAGCAGAAAAATATCAGAAACATCAGTACTTCATTCCCTCATCAGTATGAGGAGCTCACGCACTCTTTCACAATACCCACGGTTGCTTCTCTGTGAGATTTTTCTCTACCCTTCCCTCACCACCCAAGTTACACTGTAGCTATGTTAATCACAATTCTCCCACTGCGCAAGGACTTAGAAATTATTCATGACAACTGCAGCAGGCCAATATTTTTGTGATCTGGCAAAAAAAATCTGCTCAAATACAAAGTAAAAAAAAGTTTTAGTAAGTGGTACTGGGGATTGAATCCAGGACTTTCACATTCAGCTATATCCCAGCCATTTTTTTTCTTTTTTCTTTTTGAGACAAGGTCTTGCCTAGGCAGGGTTTGAACTTGGATCCTCTGGCCTCAGCCTTCTTGAGAGCTAGAATTATAGGCCTGCATCACCAGACCAAATAATAAGGCTTATTTTTGAGTAAAGAGAATCCTAAATTTACCATATTCTTTAATACTTTTCAAGTTTTCTACAAAAAATACGTAACACTATATATTTAAAAATAAATAATTGTTCGGTAGTGCTCACGAGCCGGCATGATGGTGCACACCTGTAATCCCAGCACTTACTTGGGGGGCTGATGACACACTGGAATACTGTTCAGCAATACCAAGAGAAAAAACAACACACTGATACGTGGTACAATATAGATGAACCGAACATGTTTTACTAAATGAAAGAAGACAGTCGCAAAGAACTACATGTTAGACAGCCATATAATCAGTGGCTGCCTAGAGCTGGGAATGGGAGGAGCTGGAAGATGGCAGCTGAGGGCTGGGGGCTTCTTTTTGGAATGGTGAAAATGTTTTAAAATCGGTTGTGGCTGGGGCTACTGGTGCATGACTGTAATCCCAACTGCTAAGGAATCTAAGACAAGAGGACCACAAGGGCTAGAGATTTAGCTCAGTGGCATCACGCCTGCCTCGCAAGCACAAGGTCCTGAGTTTGAGCCCCAGCACAAAATTCTTTAAAAAAAAGAGAGCAGGGCCTGGTGGCTCACACCTGTAATCGCAGCGCTTGGGAGGCTGAGGCAGGAGGATCGCTATGAATTTGAGACCAGCCTGGGCTACCTGGTCTACCTAGTGAGTTCCAGGGCAGTCTCAACTACATAGTGAGACCCTGTCTCAAAAAGAACCGAGAGAGAGAGAGAGAGAGAGAGAGAGAGAGAGAGCGCGAGCGCATGCCACAAATTCAAGTCCAGCCTGGGCGATTTAATAAGACCCTGCCCACACTTGTCTAGCATATGCGAAGCCCTGGATTCAGTTCCCAGTACTATCTCCCAATACATACACACACACACACACACACACACACACACACACACACTCCATACATACACACACACACACACACACACACACACACACACACACACACACACATACCCTGGTGATGATTTTAGTGAATATATTTAAAGCCACTGAACTGTGTATTTTAAATAGGTGGACCAATTTGTGTGTGAATTATGTCTTAGTGAAGATGTTAACATGCAAACATAGAAGACTAAAAAAGAGCTGAGGGTTGATCAGACATATTCTTTGACTCAAATACATAGGAAGCTCATACAGTTCCTTCTGGCCACTTCATCTTTTTTTTTTTTTTTTTCCTTCTGTAATGCAGATGGAACTCAGGACCTGCCACTCGCAAGACAGGCATGGCACCTCTGAGCTAAATCCCCAGCCCACCACTTTATTCTTTATGTCCATCTTAACTTTAAGCTCTCTACTTAGTTTTTAAGTGAGAAGAAAACATCAGGGAGGGAAGCATACTGTCATGTTTACTTTCTAAGGGCTAATATTTCTATTTGCTTAAGGAGAAGGATGAAAAAGTGACAATGACAAAGAGCAAAGCAGTAAACAGTCAAGCTTGCTAATGAAAGAACATAAGGCTCTTGCCAAAACCTGGAGGATTATCCTAAGGCAAGGTAACAGGAGAGAGGAGAAGTGGTTTTAAAACAAGGAATAATAACCACTTTGGAAAGGAGAAAGAAAAGTAAACTTGAGGGAAGAGAGAGAGAGGCACAGGCTTTTTATGGTGAAATTGCAAACATACAGAAAGCATGTAAAAGCTTAAGAAACAAAATCAAGCCGGGCGTGGTGGTGCACACCTGATATCCCAGCGCTTGGGAAGCTGAGGCAGGAGGATCGCTGTGAGTTCGAGACCAGCCTGGGCTACATAGTGAGTTCCAGGTCAGTCTCAACAACATAGTGAGACCCTGTCTCAACCCCCCAACAAAAGAGATTCACAGTTAACTAGAATGCCCTTTTATAGGTCTTTGGGGTTGTCTTCTCTGAAGAACCCAAACATCCTCTTTGCCTTTTTCTATTTGTTCTGGATTTGTTGTGGGGTTTTTTGTTTCATAGCTTTTTTTTTATTATTGCAATTTAGTTATACAGATTAATGGGTCTCATTTTGGTTTTGCCTAACTTTGAACTTTATGTATAGAATCATACAGTACATGTTGTTCTAGGATTTGCTTCTTTTCAAACACTGTTTGGAGATTTATCCGTGTTGGTCCAAGAAAGTATACTTGTTTCATTTATATCATTATATGAGATTCCACATATGAACATGCTACCAATTATTTATTCATTCTATTGGTATGGACTTTGGGGATGGCTTCTAGATGTGTGTTCTCTATTACATACAATGCTGCTATAAATATTGTTATACCCATCTTCCAACTTGTGCAAGAGTTTCTAGTCTACAGCACATACCTACTAGTCAAATTTATGGCTTATCGTACATTGTTGTGCAAAGATAATAATAAATTCTTTGACATTCTTTCCATCAAAAAGAAGAGTATATTCCACCCCCCATTTTTCTTTTTCTTTTTGGTGTCAGGGATTGAACTTAGAACCTTGTGCTTGTGAGGCAGGTGCAAGCACCACTGATCTAAATCCCTGCCCAGCCTCTTCCCCCCGCTCCTCCTTTTGAGTCTGTGGTGGCTTTATGGCTTTCTTTTTTCCAAAAGAATGTGATGAAAATGGAACTCTTGGACCTCAAAGCCAAAAGATGGCTGGCAGTTTCCACTTTCGCCCTCTTAGAAGCCAGATGCTACACTGCACAGAAGTGAACTCATTACTAAATGACAAGCGACCATGTGGAGAGAAACCCTGGAGGGTGAGAAGCTATTTGAACACCTTAGCCAAGCTCCTAGCTAAACACAGCCACACTGTAAATCTCAATTTACAGTATGTGGAGCAGGAAAACCACGCAACCCAAAAAATTCTGAATAATTACCAGTCATTATTGTTTTAAACCTCTAGCTTCTCCTCTCCCTCCCTCTCTCTCTCTCTCTCTCTCCCTCCCTTTCTCTCTCTCTCTCTCTCTCTCTCTCTCTCTCTCTCTCTCTCTCCCTCCCTCTCTCTCTCTCTCTCTCTCTCTCTCTCTCTCTCTCTCTCTCTCTCTTTCTTTTTCTGGTACCAAGGATGGAACACAGCTGCAAGCTATCTACCACTAAGCTACATCTCTATTCCTTTTACTGTTGAGACAAAGTCTCAAGTTTCCCAGGCCGGCATTGAACTTCCAATCCTGCCTCAGCCTCCTAAGTAGAAAGGATTATAAGTGTATGCTACAGCCAGCTTGGGAGACCTAGTCTTGATAAGAGATGGGGAAAGTAATTCCAATCTGTTCTTCTTCAAGATTTTTTTTTTTTTTAATACCAGGGATCACTTGCGAGGCAGGTGGCTGAACCACTAAGCCAAATTCCCAGCCCTATCCAAGAGGTATTTGAATGTATTTGAACCTCTGATTTTTCACACACACACACACACACACACACACACACACACACACGCACACACACACGCACACACACACACGTCAATTTATCTAGCTGCACAAACAAAATCAGTTAAGATTTTGACAGAAATTCTACAGAATCTATAATTTAATTTGTGAAGAATTGCCATCTTTAGACATGTTCTAACCCATGAACATGATACTGTGTTTATTTGGATCTTTAACATTTTTTTTCAATATAATTGAATAATTTCCTACAGAAGGGTATTATGCATCTTTTGTTAGCTTTACTCCTGGATACTCAATTGTTTTTCATGTGTTTCAACTTTTTATTTGTAAATAATTTCAAACTTAATAAACAAGAATAGTAAAAAGAACACATAATACATACCCTTCCCTCAGATCCATGTAGACTTAATGTCTTACCCCACTATACTCAGGTCTCTCTCTTCTCTTTTCTCTCTCCCTTTTCCTCTCAACTTCCTCCTTTCTCCCCCTTTGCCCTTCTACGTATTTTTCTATGCCCCTTAAGAATAAACTGAGCAAGGCTGGGTGTGGTGGCGCACGCCTGTAATCCCAGCACTCGGAGGCTGAGGCAGGAGGATCACTGTGGGTTTGAGACCAGCCTGGGCTACATAGTTGAGCTCCAGGTCAGTCTCAACTACATAGTGAGACCCTGTCTCAACACCCCCACCTAAAAAAAACAAAGAATAATTTGACTTTAAGAATAAATGGCGCACAATCACTTCTCAGCCTTTTGGCTAAGATCAAGTGAAGAATAAGTTGTAATCCCAACACTCAGGAGGCTGAAGCAGGAGGATTACCTTGAGTTCGAGGCCATCTGGGGCTACATAGTGAGTTGAACAGAAAAAAAAAAAAAAAAAAAAGTTGAATACATCATGGTCTGTTCTCTTATATATCCATCACAGAGCTATAACACTGATATAGTAATTATTTGTATCTAATAATCCATCATCATTTTTTCAGATAGCCCAATAATGCTCGTTAGAGCAACTTTTGCTGTCCAGTACAGCACAGGGTCCACATTAGAATTAGATGTCCATTTGTTTCTCTTATCTCTTTAGTCTCCTTTAGCATTTTTATGGCATCTCTTATCTTTTACCTTTTATAATTTTGAAAAATGCAGTACCCCCCAAAAATACAGTCCCCACTCTTTTATGGAACACTGTGTCTTCTTCAGTGCATTGCCTCCAACCCACCTGCATTCACTATTAATTTTGACATCCAACCATAAGTTATCAGATTTCTCCACTGTATAGTTACTATTCTTTCCCTTGCAACAAATAAACAATCAGTTTAAACACAACGATCCTTTTAAATTATAGTATTTACTATGGAATTTTCAAATATATTTCAAAATAATATAGTAAGTTCTAAGTTTATTCAACAATTACCAAATTTTTAAAGCAATTATCAGAAAGCAAACCCCAATGGTTAGATTTCAACTATGAAAACTTCAGAGCAGTATTCACTTGTTTAATAGATAAAAAAATTTACATGATGTCATTATATCTAAGAAAATAATAATTCCTCAATAGCATCCAATGTATGGCCATGTTTAAATTCTCATAACATTCTCAATAATGTCATTTTATAGTTAGACTGATATAATCAGAATCCAGTAAGGATCTTGTGTTGAATTTGTTAAATTTTGTAAATCCCTCTAACCTGCACCAGTTTCCCTTCCATTCTTTTTTTTTCTTTTTTCTTTTTGTACTGGGGATCGAACTCTGAACCTTGAGCTTGGGAGGCAGGCAGTGGAACCACTGAGCTAAATCCCCAGCCCCTCCCTTTCTATTCTTAATGCCACTTACTTGTTGAAAGGTATAGATCATTTGTCCTGTAGCAGAGCCCATATTCAGGATTCTGAACTCATTTTTATTGCTGTATAATATATTTCTACATATTTCTATATTTCTTGCAGAGTTTTGCTCATGTATAAAAGCCTAGATTATTTTCCTTCACTAACTTTTACATCTTGGAACTTTTAAACTTTAATTTTAATAATTTAATTAAATGCAATTTAATTAAATATAATTTAATAATTTTATTAAACAAAAAAATTTTCGTTTTCTGCGTAGGATAATGAAACAGAGATAACAGCACATTTTTATTTCATTATTATCTATATTTTTATGTATAATTTACTTCAGTCAGAAGAAAAAGTATTACCGGATGGAAGGTTTGAGATGCAAGAAGATATGAAAACCAAAGATACTAATAAGTACAAAAATCTTTTTTAAAAAAAGTACAATAATAGTAAAATAATGCTGTGGAGTGAAAAAAACAAAGATTGAAATATATTGTTACAATATGAACTCCAATGTTTACGAAGTTTAACTTTTTAAGTCTTTGAATTATTTGGAAAAATGACCAATTCTATCTATTTACTTTAGATATTGGTAAGTTATACACACATGATAAAATTTCTGTGTTAAGAGGCTGGAGGTTTAGGTTGGTGGGAGACCATTCGCTTAGTATGCAAAAGAACCTGTGTTTAATAATAGCATAATAAAAAATAAGTCTAGGTTAAATATTTAATAAACAGAAATCCCAGACCTTGACAGTTTTGCTAACAAAGACAGGATGCTAACAGAGATATGGCTTTTGGAAGAAAAAGGAGACAGGCTCTCTAGGAAAGGTTAGAGAATATAAAAACTCTCCAGGATCTCTCACCAAAGTCAGTCAAATCCCTCAGAAGATGTACAGACAGATCGCATGATAAAACTTAACAGATGCTGGGCTTGGAGGCACATGCCTGTAATCCCAGCATTCTTGGAGGACTGAGGCAGGAACACACAAGTTCAAGTTCAGCATGGGCAATTTAGTGCGACCCTGCCTCAATATTTAAAAATACAAGAAAAGGGCTGGGACTAACGCCTGGAGTTCAATCCGCAGTAACACCCCTCACCCCCAAATTACTTAAACTACTTCTTTTTTTCCTGTATGTTTCAGTCATAGGTTTAATATGTAATTAAGTTTATTTTATGCTAGCATTCAATTTTAATTTTTTGTCCCCTCATCTTTGGTAAGGGATATTATAAAAATGTACATTGTTTAAAAGTCAAAACCTTATAATAATGTACACTCAGAGATGCTTAGCATCTAACCTATAGGTAACTTGCTTCATTAAGTTTTGGTTTCTCCTTTTTGAATTTATTTTTTCAAAAACATGCAAACATATACATATATATAAAATACATTCTATATGTGTGACTTTCCCTTTTCAATATTTAAAAAGTAGTATATAGAGATATTGAAGTGATGTGTAATGAAAGTACTCACATGAAAATGTCCAGTTCTTGTTTTAAGAGGTTCTAACCTTTTACCTGTGATATAGCTGAACTGATTCCCAGTGGGACAAAGGGTATCACTGCAATACTGGCAGCAAGCACGGCAAAGTTAGCCAGACATGTGTCACTAAGCAGCAGAGCCAGGATGCCCATGACAGAGGCCCCTCCGAGCACAGTCCAAAGTCCTCAATATCGTTACATGACTAATACTTGCAAAATCTAGTGAAAACCTAAAGTCCAAATTACTAAATTTCTCTGACACTTCAAAATTAGAGAATATATGATGAAATTTTTAATCATTTAAAAAAAATTTTAAAAAAACACTCTACAGAGTATGCCTAAGTTCACGTGAAAAAATAGATACCCAAGAATAACCAGTAATCTTTTGAAGAATATTACAAATGAGCCAGTAGAGGTCCCAGATACAGTACTGAAATATTTTTTAAAACTAGAGTAATTAAAATAGTTTGGACCCAAGGGGCAAGGAGGTGGAACAACCTAAAAGCCGCCCAGCTCAGTGGTAAGAGCAGAAGTAACAAAGCAAATGAAAAATATCAAAGCAGAAATAATTTCTCAGATAACTACAGAGATGGTGACCAGAAAGAAAGACATAGTCAGTGACTCTAGAGCAGGTACAGATTTAAAAAAAAATAGAGGAGTTCAGAACATGATGGAAACCATGTACACTCAGCATAGAACAGCATAGGAAAGAAATGGAATCCATGAAATAGTTTTGTACTGATGCATGAAAAAAAAACAAAGAACAGAACAAAGTCCAGAAATAGAACTCTAGACATAAAAAAGAATTTAACATATGATAAGTAAAATTTCTAGCAAAAGGCAAACGATTCATTGTTTCTAAGGGAATGCTCACAAGGATGGCAGTGAACGCTTCTAATTTCAGCACTCAAGAGGTTGAGAAAAGAAGATCAACAGGTATGGTGGAGCACACCTGTAGTCCCAGCACTTGGGAGGCTGAGGCAGGAAGATCGCTGTGAGTTCGAGACCAACCTGGGCTATACAGTGAATTCCAGGTCAATCTGAACTACATAGTGAAACCCTGCCTCAAAAAAAACCCAAAAAACCAAAAACAAAAACAAAAAAAACATGAGAAAGGAGGATTGCTGAAAGTTCAAAGCTAGCCTGAGTTACCTAGTAAGTTTAAGGCCAGCCTGAACTACAAAGTGAGACCCTGTTTCAAAAAAGAGAAAGGATGCTCAGTGCTGCTGAGACAACAGGACAGTCATCTGAACCAAATGAAGTGGACTCCCTAACTCACTTTCTATAACAAAATGGATCTCCATATGCATATATACACATACACAGTACATGCATATATAATATGCATACATACATATGCAATATATATGTAATATACACATATGTACAGTATATACACATGTATGATGTATATATAGATATAGATATAGATATAGATATAGATGTATGTAGGGCGCATATATACACTATGTAGCCTAGGCTGGCCTGAAACTATGTAGGCCTACACTACGTAGGGCACCCTGGGCTACACAGTGAGTTCAAGGCCAGTCTGATCTATGCATGTGGTGATACCCTGTCTCAAAACAAATACATAAATAATAAAAATAAAAATGGGTCTAGGGGTGTAGCTCAGTGGTAGAACACTTACATAGCATCTGTGAATTTCTGGGTTCAATCTCTAGCATCACAAAAATAAATAATAAAATTTATGTAAAACCATAAAAGTACTACAATATCAATTTAAAAATATATCATGAATTAACATGGCTTAACAGGGTTGTCACAAAAACACTAAAGACTTAAAAGAACAGTAATTTTAACTTCACAAAAATACATGTCTTAGGGCTGAGGATTTAGCTCAGAGGTTCTGCTGCCCGCCTTGCAAGCACAAGGTCCCAAATTCAATCCCAGGTACCAAACAAATAAACAATACATGTCCTCATGTTAAACAAATAGTATAATCAAAGTCAATATGTAATTTTTTAAAACTGAGAAAATATTAGTAACACGCCTGATAAAGAACAAAAAAATTGGGGGTGGTACTGGGGATCAAACTCACGTCCTTGTGCTTGCAAGGCAGGGGGCGGAACTACTGAGCTAAATCCCAGCCCAAGAACAAAATTTTAAATATACAAGTTCTCAGAGATCCATCATAAATCTGAATGGTTAATCAAGGCAAATAAAAAGATATACAGATATCTTTAAGCCATGTTTTCTCAGCCTCTGGACTACTGATATTTTGGGGAATCCCTGTGCATGCTAAGATGTTTTCCTGTAGCTAAGACTCTACTCTCAAGATCCCATTAGCAACTCCCCTCAGTTATGACAATCAATACCCTTCTCAGATACAGATATTGCCAAATGCCCTCTGGGGGTCAACTGGCCTTTGGTTTATAAAAAGCTCTCCCTCCTCACTCATGATGAAACAAAGGCAAATTTGAAGTATAACAGAGTCACTTATTCTCTAATTTGATTTTTTTGTTACCAAATACGTCAACATTATGTTTGCTAACATTTTGGATTAGGAAATCTCATTGATGCTTTTGGCTGTCCAACCCTTTTAAAGGCATTATCTATGCATATAGCTATCAAAATTTAAAGTGCACATTATCTTTGACCCAACAATTTCAATTGAAAGAATTTAGCTTAAAGATATACTAACATATGTGCAAACAACTGACTACAAGGGTAATCATGGAAGCAAAGACAGAGTAACAATAACAACAACAACAACAACAACAAAAAACCTGGAAGAGTTGGTATCCCACAAAAGGGGACAGGCTAGATAAATAATGGTGTACCCATGTAATCAGAGATTATGCAGAGATTGAAAATAAACTCTCTGGGCATAGTGACACCTGCCTGTACTCCCAAGGAGGCTGAAGCAGAACTACAAGTTCCAGCTTCTACTGAGCAATTCAGTGATTTAGCAAGACCCTTTCTCAAAATAAAAACTCTTTGAAAGGTCTGGAGATGTAGCTCAGTGTGAAGACTCTGGGTCCAATTCTCAGTACTTGGAAAGAAAACAAAATGAAGACGAAGATTTACAGGTCATGAAAGTATATATACTGGTTATCTCAAGACAAGTAAAAGTAAAAAGGTCAAAATGGAATCTGCTACTACTTTTAAAAATATGTCTCTGGTTGGTGTACAAAATATGCCTATAAACCGGGCATGGTGGCATACGCCTGTAATCCCAGCACTCGGGAGGCTGAGGCAGGAGGATCGGTGAGTTCGAG